TTTAATTTAAACAAATTTTTAAAACAAAACAATACTATAAATAGTAAATAACATAAATGGATCGGAAATGAGATGGACATAGCAAAGATCCGATCCATTTTAATCATCAGTGTTACCCGCATTACATCTACAGTGTTCGCTCAAATGGGCGATCACAGTAGGTGAACCTGGTCTAACAGAATGCGATGCATGGACCTGGTGATGATTTCCATTTCCCAGTGATTTCCAGTGATTTCCAGTGATTTCCAATCGGTAGAAGGATTCTAGTTGTGATTTCCAAGTGTAGTACTCCGAAATCGCTCAATGAACAATAGGGTGGAGGTATGGTGGCAGTTCAAATTAATCGGACTGTTGAACTGCAAGATAAGAAGATAATACGTTAGCAATACAGAGGGGCTCTGCCCCTGTTTTGCTGCTTATAAGGAGAAAGCCGATGCCCCTGTTTTTGCGAAATAAAATTTGCTTACCTGTGGCAATATTTCAGAGCACAATCGGGTGGACTTTGTACAGCCACTAGTCTACCTTCAAATCTGTTTATGGATTGAACTATAATATGAGAATACGATAAGTTAGAAAAACAGGGTGGAGCCCCTGTTTCGTTGCATAGAAGGAGAAAAACAAAGAAAATTCTTGCCTTACCTTTAATATGGGTCCTCTCTACTGAACTGAAGGAAGAGAAGAGGCCGGTGTTTCACTTGGAAGAGAAAGAACACGGGAAGCATCAGGAGTGGATATGGAATTATGGATAGCTTAGGAAAGTAGGAGTGTTTCTAACTTAGTGGGCTTTCTTCCTAAATTAATGGAACAAAACAGGGGAGATTGCCATGTCCTATGGCAACTCCATGCAACTCCATGAGCTTTGAGAGGGAATCTTGCACCCCCTCTAGAATTGCTTAGTTTGGGTAACAGAGCAAGGAGAGGATTATTGACATGGCAAGTTCTACTTTAGTATATACAACCGGGACCTGTGCGATACAAAGGCTTTGTTAAGCAAAAGCTAAACAATAGAAATATATGAGTATTCAATTGTTTTATATTTTAACTTTTAATAAATAATTCGATCAAACTTGACTCAAGTTAGTCAATTTTCTAGTATTTCTGATCGGTTTTGGTTCAACATTTTTTCAACCCGACCAAGTTAGGTCAATTTCGGTTTGTCCATTTGTAAATCAACCAAAACTGAACCGACTCGACCATAGATATATATTAATATTTTATATTTTTAAATATATTTTTTAATGCAGGAAGTGGAAAATTTCTCATATTTTTTAGTCTAAAATATTATATATCATAAATTTATTTTTTAATAATACCATTATAAATTAAATTTAAATTTAATTTTTAAGTTTAAATCTTTTGAAAAAACAAACCAAATCGATACAATCCAAGTTAGCGGGTTTTCAGTTTTCACTAATGGTAAGTCAGTTTCGGGTGACAAACTCCCGACATGACCAGGTCAATTTGGTTGGCAAAACAATCTACAATCGAACTGAATTGATCATTAAACAATCCTAATTACAACTAAATTAATAGTCTAATCTCTAATAAATAACAATAGTTTAATCTCTAATAATTATTGAAAATTTATAGCAAAAATACACAACTATTGAAAAAAATTTATAATGGAAATACAATAGATATATATTTAATAAAAATACAATAATTTCAAAAACACAATAAATACTAAAATATATTAATGAGTCAATAAATAGTGTAATCTCAAATAATAGTTTAATCTCTAATAAATATTAATCAATAAATTATAAAAATACATAATTACTAAAAATAAATTTATAAAAAATACAATAAATACAATAAATTAAATTTTAAAAGTTAAATAATAGTTTTTAGGATGCATTTGGCATTCCTTATTTTAAGGACCTATCTCCGTTTTTCTCTTAAAAAATCAGTGTTCATAAGGGCATTTTAATTTTAAAAGGAGATAAGTCCTTAAAATAAGGAATGTAAAATGCAGCCTTAATCTCCAATAATAATTGACAATTTAATGTTAAATACTAAAACAATTGTAGATTTATAAATAATTATTGAAAACATATTTATCAAAAAACACAATAAATAATTACTAAAAATAAAATAAATATTAATTTTTAGTATATATATAAATATATAATGAATATACACTATTATTGTAAAATTATTACTAATAAATATTATTTTTTTGAAAGTTATTTTCTATAATTATTAATTGATATAAGTGAAATTATTTATTTACAATATTATTTAGTTTTGTAAATGATATTTTTATTTAAAATTTTAAAACATTAATTATTTATTGAATTTAATAATCTATAAAATTATAATTATTACTATTATTACATAATTGGTCATTAATTTTGTTAAATATTAAATTATTATTAATACGAATATTATGAAATCTATTATAAGTATTTTTCTACTTTTAAGATTTTCTTTTTAGATTTATTACATAATTTTGTTATTTTAACTATTTAAAATTTAGTCACGTTAATTATTTTCTTATTTAAATATTTAAATAATATGTAAAATATTTAAAATTTTTCATTATTTGAATTTTATTTATTTTAATATATTTACGTAGTTTTAAATATTTTGTTATATAATTATTTAGCTATTTTTAATATTTTGTTATTTAAGATATTTAGTTATTGAAATATTTAAATAATGTTTGATTTTTTTAATGTTTTATTTTTATTATCTGAATAACATTTTAATTGATTAATTTGTAAAATTATAATGTATATTGTTACTACATATTTTCATGATGAACTTTGTAAAAATATAGAATTATTAATAATATGAATATTATTAAATCTATTATAATCAATTTTTGTGTTTTAAATAAATATTTTAAAGTTAGGGCATGTTCGTTTCCTCTTAACTCTTATCTCTTAAGAAGAATCTTTTAACTTTAAAAGAAAATTGGTTGTTCATTCCCTCTTATCTCTTATCTCTTAAAGTGCAATCATACAACTTTTTGTTTTGCAATGATACCCTCAAAAAGCAAACAAAAACTCTCATATATGGGGTCAAAATGGATATTTGATAGTTTTCAAAATTCAAAATTCAGAACAACACTCTTTTGCATTCAGAGTTCACAGGAAAGAAAAGTTCACCAATACCAATATACCTTTCAGTGTAATTATTATACTTTCAGATGTCAAACTTCAGAGAAAACAAACAGGCCCTTAGTATATAATTTCCTTATAATATTTAAATAATTCTGATATTTTTTAACTGACATTTTCTTTAGATAGATGTTGATAAAAAGTGGGGGAGAGGATAAATAGGAATTAGAGATAGTTTGAGGGAACCTCTCTACTAAATTAGAGATAAATTAAGAGATAAATAGGAGTTAGAGATAATTTAGGAGATAAATAGGAATTAGAGACAATTTAGGAGAAAGTGGTGCCACTTGGTTAAACATTAGAAAATCAAATCCCTCTTTCTTTATGATTGTTAGAAATAGTTAAGTCATTAAAAATATTAAAAAAAAGGAAATTAAGAAGGGGGTTTGGAGCAAGGAAAGGCATGGTGACATGTACTGTCTTGCTATATATATATATATATATATATGATGAATTTAATTTTAATGAGTTGTTTGGTAATAGGAAGAAAAAAACGTGTAGATTGTGTGTACTCGTCAAGGATGCAACCTGGGCCAGGTGCTCGAACCCAACCCTAGCCCAACCTAAAAAAAATCGAGTTGGGTTGGGTCGGGTTGATGCTCAGGTTAGGGTTAGGGTTGAAATTTATGAACCTGACTTTACTTCGGATTGGGTTAGGGTTGACCCCTCGGGCAACCCAACCCAACCCGAACCCAACTCTATAGTGCATATCATATATAAATATATGTTATATATATGATATCATACATTGATTTGTTTATATGCATGATAGTTGTATAGCCCCTACTACATATTATCATTTATTTCTTTTAAGATAATCACTTCACTTAAATTCTAATTAGAAATACCAAAACCTTAATAACATTTTTTTATGTTTTTTGAATATTTTATTCTTTATTTCCTCTTTGTTGTTTGCCATCCATAGCTTATGGCCCATAAAAGATCTATTATAAGCTATAACTCATAATAAACTATAATCATTTCAAACACTTGTTTTTTTTTTTGAGTTTTGTACTTAAAAGATCTATTATTAACAAACAAATATTAATAAAACATAGGATTAATATATGTAGTAAAAGTTGAGCAAAGATCTGAAATTAAGAAGTTCTACGAGATTTTAAGGAATGGGAACAAGGTTGGGTTGGGCCCCACCCGAAGTTGACTTCGAGTTGAATTGGATTGAGTTAGGGTTGAAGAAATTTAGTTAAGGTTAGAGTTAGGGTTAAATAGGTCGAACTGGATTAGGATTAGGGGTTTAGAACTTAATATTAAACTAGGATTGGCCTTAATCCCACCTAACCCGGCCCGATGTGCAGCCCCAGTAGTATTTCAATGTTTCTAAATTTATTAAGAAGTGAAGATTTGGTATGGGGATTTTACCGACCTCAATGGTTTAGTCCAATAAAATAGAATATTTTCAAGTTGCACTTATGAAGCCTGATGGACTTTCTTTAACAGCCATTTTGGGTCAAGTATGACGCTTATTAAACTAATAAGCCCGGCTTAGTCATAAATGAATTCCAAGGTCCATTAAGCTAAAGAGGAAGGAAATCACACCTAACCTTTGATAAGCCAATCCCACCATATCCCAATTCCTTTTTTTTTTTTTGTGTTTTTCTTCTTTGGTGATTAACACACCATCCCGTTTGAAAACTAGATATCCCTGTAGTACTCCATCTTCCCTTATTTACGCTTGAAAACTAGCTCCCCAACATATGAAAGGGTTTGCTTTCCAAAAAAAAAAAAATGGAATGTTTAAACTATAAAGTGAATAAAAAATAAAAAAAATAAAAACTCAGGTAATGTAGTGGGCCTGGGCCCATGTTTTTTTATAACTTCGTCAGTTCTATTACTATTTAATAACTACCAAGCCCGCCCCATGCCTTTCTCGTCAAATCTATTCGTAAAACACAGAGAAGACCCTGATGCCAGCATTCCACCCTGCCAGTCCAGTCACGAAAGATCAAATGTCCTTGAACATGAAGAAATATAAAAGGAAAGACATTCGCCCAAAGAAGGCCACTGACTGAGAGAAGAGGAAAACATGAAAGCTTTAAGATTCAGTGGCCACCTTCATCTCTGCCTCGTTTCCATCGTTATTTCACTGACCTTTTTCACAGAAATTTCAGTTGCAGCTGACACCATAACTCAGGCTCAATCGCTCAGAGACTCCCAAACCCTTGTTTCCTCCGGTGGAAACTTCAAACTAGGGTTCTTCACTCCGGATAATTCGAAATACAGTTACGTGGGGATTTGGTACAACAAAATTTCGATTCGAACAGTGGTTTGGGTTGCAAATAGGAACGACCCAATAACAGATTTAACTGGAGTTCTATCATTTGGCACAGATGGAAATCTTGTTCTTCTCAACCGACAGGCGACCGTCCTCTGGTCGACAAATACATCTAAGGTACAAAATCCGATTGCGCAGCTTCTTGACTCCGGGAATCTTGTTATCAGGGAGGCCAGCGATCCCAATCCCCAAAACTATCTATGGCAGAGCTTTGATTATCCCACCGATACGTTGTTACCAGGTATGAAGCTGGGGTGGAACTTGAAGACCCGTTTGAATCGTTTTCTGACATCTTGGAAGAGCCCAGACGACCCTTCAATGGGAGATTTTTCTTTCAGGATAGATCCTCATGGATTACCAGAAATATTTCTGATGAACCGACTGGACACGGTGTACCGAAGCGGGCCTTGGAATGGAATCCAATTTAGTGGAGTTCCAGAAATGAGGCCCAGCGAGATCGTAAGCTTTGATTTCACATTTAATGAGGAGGAGGTTTATTACTCATTTACAATCAATAGTGACTCAGTTTTTTCAAGGTTGATGGTGAACTCGACTGGTTTGCTTCAAAGGTTCACATGGCAGCTAGGCGTGAACAGTGACTGGATCCTTTTCTGGTACGCCCCAAAGGACCAATGCGACGACTACAAGAACTGTGGGCCTTATGGTATTTGTGACAGCAATGCTTCGCCGATCTGTGAGTGTGTGAAGGGATTCAAGCCGAAGAACCAGAAGGCTTGGGATCTCAGAGATGGGTCTGATGGCTGTGTTGTGCAAACCGAGTTCGTGTGTCAGAAGGACGATGGGTTCTTAAAATTGACGGGGATGAAACTGCCGGATAGTTCTCGAGCATTTGTAAACCAAAGCATGAATCTTCAGGAATGCGAAGCCGAATGCCAGAAAAGTTGTTCTTGTACAGCTTATGCGAATACTAACATCACCGGAGGCGGAAGCGGCTGTGTGTTTTGGATCGGCGATCTGATCGATCTCCGGGAATACATCATGGACGGCGGCGAAGATCTGTACGTGAGAGTGGCAGCTTCAGAGCTAGGTGTGTACTGTAAACTGGTTCTTCTTCTTTATGCTTTTTTAGATTTCTTTCCTATCGGGTTTGTCAGTGAGTCGACTCGCAAGAGTTCACTTTTGCGACGAGCGCAAGAATAAAACCTTGAAGGCTTGAATCATGTGGCCTTCTATGCATTGGCAACGTTACTCTCATTTAATTCAAGGTGTAGCCAAATAATACATGGAATGGAAGGCTTAGATTTCGTGGTTTTAGCTAAGCGTGAAAGGACTCTTAAGTCTTAACCCAATTGGTGGTTGTGTTAGGACTTAGGAGTTGTTTAACCAATCCAGCTAATTCGGACTCTCTCAGCCGTTTGATCTGAGATCGGGGGCTTGGTGTTAGGTGGCCTCACCGATGATATATGTTGTGAGCCCGGATAGATTATTAAAAATTGCTGATGCAATTACATTATATAGTTTTTCCTCTTCTTTTCTTTTCACCCAATTCTTGCCCATATGCTACGTTCAACTGCGCCGAGGGATTGTGTGACAAACAGAAACAAAAAATAAACTTTTAACTTTTGGCAAAGCAGAGACGGCCTTATTTAAATATAAATCATTGACAATATAGCCTTAATTATGAGTTTATGTCACACAGTCTAAGATATTCATTTTTATGTATTTAGCAATCTAAGTTTTCATTTGGTTCGTGGGAGTAAGGGTCTCATTTTTATGTATTTACTTTTCATCAAAGCAATTTAAAGTTTCATTTGGTTCGTGGGAATAGGAGTTTGTAATCAGAATTGGAATATGGGCTATTTCGATTTTAACTGTTTTGTTGAATAAAATTGAAATTTCATTTCCATCCCTATCCTTTTTTCTTGAAAATGAAATCCCATTTCTGTTCATTTCTTTCTAAATCAAATAGACAATAAGAATGAACCATTTGGATTCTGATTCCCATTCTGATTCCAACAACCAAACAGACTCCAAAATATATTCAATTACTTGCTTTATCAACATCTTTTTTTTTGCTTCTTGTTTCGCTTCCCTGTTTTAGTGAAAGGAGGCAGACCCACAGAAATTAGGACTTTATGATGGGCTTTATAGAAAATTTTCTTCATCAGGAAATTACAGAAAAGGAAGCACAAATGATATGATTTATTTATAAAAAAAAATTGATATTTGATTTGTTGTTGTCAAACGTCAACAGCCGACATTTCTGACTTTGGTTTTGTATTCATTTGGTTTATAAGGACAAATTAATCGTTTCTTTAAAATGAGAGATCTGATGTGGCAAGCAACGGCCATGCATGTATGGTCAAGTCTGGCAGACTGTAGTAAGGCCTCTCTCCATTGGTGCTTATTCCCTGTTTTCCTTTTTGTTTTCTATATTCTTTCCTTTCTTTCGTTAGGTAGGAAACCAGGAGTATAGCATTAGAAAAGTTTTCCAACATAATTCCAACCCATCTACGTTCGTTATCTTCTATTGACTCCGAATCCGTCCAGTCTGGTCCAACTGGGCCTACTGATGGCTCCAAATAGAATAGAAACCGCCCCTACATACCACCTAATTTACAGGGTCAATTTGAGCCACCAGTTTGTCCGAATAGAATTATATCAATCAAGACAAGGTAAACATCTAACATAATTGGACACAATGAATGCATTTTCCCCATGTTAAATAGAAGAATGTATTGATGATGTCCCTATCTATCCCAAACAAATGTCTTGGTATTAAAACTAGTCTATACTGAGTTCTACATATACCCAAGTTTTTCTGAATCATGGAAAGCATTTTTTATCTTAAAATTATGAGTAGATTTGTATTGATAAAAAATTATGAGTAAATTTGTGATAATAATAAAAAGGAAAAATTTCTAATCAGTATCATGTACTTTGGTTTGAGTGATAGTTTGGTTTTCAAACTTTAAAATGTGATAATTCAGTATTCAAACTTTTAAAATGTGACAATTCAGTAGTAGAATTTCCAAAGTGTGACAATCCAGTATCTGTCGCTAACCAGGCCATTAATCAACCATTAAGTGACATTTGAAAAATCAAAAATGTCTTAAGAATGCCATCTAACCCCTTTTGTTTGTCTCGTTTAGAATCCATTTTTATTCTTCATTVTAATCCAGTTGTTAAGACAACTAAAATGGTGTTTCCTTGTTCCGGGATCCTTTATCTTTGCTTTGAATCATTGGGTTTAGACATTACTTCGGTGATCTTTAATCGTTTCAAAATGGCAGCAACATACCTTTTGTGATTTMTTTCTATCGAAGAATCATACGAATAATTGATTCCCGCGTGATACACTTTTGATCGARATGGTTTTACCATCTAAACGTTGATAATAAAATGAACAGTCCCAAATTCTAAATTCTTCTAAACAGGCAACAACTTTTTTGAATAGAAGAGGCTAGGATTTGGGATTGTGTTCACTTTTTTGTCAATGTTTGAATGGTTGATAAAGAGAATTAGATGGCATTCGAAGGGCATTTTTGACTTTTCAAATATCACTTAATGGCTGATTAGTGAACTGGTTAACGGAAGGTACTGAATTATCACATTTTGAAAGTTTAGGTACTGAATTGTCACATTTTAAAGTTTGGGAACCAAATTGTCACTCGAGCCAAAATACAGGGAACTGATTGAAAATTTTAATTAATAAAAATATATAATATTTTTTTACACTGATACTGTGAAATACCAGTCTGGATCTCTTACTCACGACGATTCTGGCCACACCTATCCACGTGAGATTATAGTCACACATGAGGGACATCTGTTCCTGATGCACTTATATGTTTGGAGATGTTCCCAATTCACGGAGGCAGTGTTTTGTGGGTAAGTGTGGTTAGGATTATTGTGATGTAAATATTGCACCATGACACTGATATCGGTGCCGAAAAACAGAAAGATGCAACATTATTTGTATTTGTTCACGGTGATATCGATGCTGAAAAATGTATTTTTGTATCTTAGAATTTTCAATTATTAATCTCTCATTTTGAAGTGGTTAATTATGAAGTGTGATTGAAGATTAATTATTTACGCCTACCTTCAGGAGGAGAAGCGGAGGGCTCCAAATCTGACAACAATTCGAACAAGAAAAGACTAGTAATTCTGGCTACTAGCATCACCGCCAGCCTTGGTGTTCTTGCATTGGCGTTGAGTAGCATTTATCTCACTTGGAAAAGGAGGACAATCCGCTCCTCTGAAAGAGGTTAGATAGCATTGCAAGTCTGTTTTAATTAATTTCTTGAAAACAAATAATTAAGCATGATAAAGAAGATGCATTAATTTCCTCAACTTCGTATTTGCCTTTGACACACAGGTACAAGGGAGAAAAGTCAGGATTTGCAACTATTGGACTTGGACGTCGTAAAACCAAGCAACATGGATTACTCTGATCAAAGCAAAATGGATGAAATTGATCAGTTACCTCTATTTGATTTTTATACTATAGCAACTGCTACTGACAACTTCTCTGATGCAAGGAAGCTCGGCAAAGGAGGTTTTGGTTCCGTATATAAGGTAAATTCACAAGGTATCAATCAGCTCTATCTTGATATATCATTTACAATATGCGATATTTGACTTCAGGAGGTGAAAATTACAATTGTTAGGGTGAATTGGTGGACGGAAGAGAAATTGCAGTGAAGAGACTTGCAAAGGATTCGGGGCAGGGAACAGAAGAATTCAAGAATGAGGTTGTTTTAATTGCTAGGCTTCAACACCGGAATCTGGTTAGGCTTTTGGGTTGTTGCGTCGATTGCCAGGAAAAGATATTAATTTATGAGTATATGCACAACAGAAGTTTGGATTGCATCATCTTTGGTTCGTATATATGTATATATATTTATATTACCATGCATTAAAGCTTAATTAATAATCAACTAATAAGTCGTACGTAGTAAATTTCTCGACCAAAATTCCAATGCAGACAAGACGAAAAGCACAATACTGGATTGGCCAAAGCGTTTCAGAATTATAGGAGGTATTGCTCGGGGAGTTCTTTATCTTCACCAAGATTCTAGATTCAGAATTGTTCATAGGGATCTCAAAGCGAGCAACATTCTACTAGATGGAGAGATGAACCCCAAAATTTCTGACTTCGGAATGGCTAGGATTTTTGGAGGGGATCAAACTGAAGCAAATACAAATAGGGTGGTTGGAACATTGTAAGTATCATAAGTATGTTAAAAACATTCAGATATTTACATCACAACCTTAACTTACTTTTGTATCTTTCCTCCATGCTGACATGCATGCAGTGGTTATATGTCCCCCGAGTATGCCATGGACGGGTTGTTCTCAGTGAAATCTGACGTTTTCAGCTTCGGTGTTTTAGTGTTGGAAATAATAAGTGGTATGAAGAACAGAGGATTTTACCACACCAACAACCAATATAACCTTCTTGGGCATGTAAGTAGTTACCATTCTCTATCTCTATCAAATTAAACGTTTCTAGGCCTTCTCATGTAGTTAGTTGCTACTGTTTCAATTAACCACAAAGAAAACGTACGTTTCAGGCATGGGCACTGTGGAGAGAAGGAACGACCTTGAAATTAGTGGATACATCCATGGGTGAGTGTTATCACACCTATGAAGTTTTGAGATGCATACAAGTCGCCCTTCTGTGTGTGCAAGAACGAGCAGAAGATAGACCCACCATGTCAAACGTGGTTTTGATGCTCAGTAGTGAAACTGCAACAGTACTGCCACAACCAAAAGAACCTGGGTTTTGTTTGGGAAGGAGTTTGCTTGAAATAGAATCATCTTCCAATAGGCAAGAGTCATGTACTTTAAACCAAGTATCGGTTACAATGCTAGAAGCCCGGTAGTTGCTGCTCTGGCCTTTCATACAGTGTAATCCATATTGCTATATACTCAAATTCCTTTCCAATAAGATAGAGAGAGATTAATTGAAACTGATGAAAGCAATACCCTATGCAACTGTCCTGCAACAGAAGATCGGCGGACTACTGTAGTCTGTAGTGTAATCTCACCAACCAATACCATTAGTAAGCTGCATGTGGGCTGCCTCCTGCCTCTTGGGTGAACCCAAACTGAACTGACTGAAGGAAAATAGGGCCAATCCATCCTAAGGATTAATCTAGCCATGCCCAGCCCAGTAATTCAGGAACACAAATACAGTCATACCTTAACTGGGCTAAGACCATCACCGAGCAAGAAATCAAGACTGGGCTGATCTCGGCCCATAGTAAATCGAAGCCTAAGTTAAATGCCAACCCTGCCTACTATATTGCAGGTTCTCTTGTACTTCCATTTTCATTGGTATATACCGACTCTTTGAACATACACGGCGTATATTATACTTTTCTTTTTTTGAAATAAAATCCTTTGATTTAAACTTAACTATGTTAGACAGTTTTGTATGCCCTTAGCTTCAATCCGATTTGATGTACTTTTGTTATTTAGTGGAAATAAATAAAGTGCATGTTTGATTCATGTTGTTTGGTTTAATTCTGTGTAAGACCCTAAAACTGG